ATGAAATTATAAATGATAAAAAGGTAAAATGAGCAAAGATAAAACAGGCAATAGAAACAAAGGACTTATCTGTTATTTGAAAAAGCCTTTCTTTTTCTCTTTTTCTTTTAGTGTCTCTTATGTTTCGCTTTTCTTTTATATTTCTTTTTATCTTTTCTCTTTTCTTTGCTGGGTAGAAAGTTTATCTGTAAAATGGATTTCTTTTTGATTTTTTTCTTTTTTGTCTTGTCCTGGGCTTGAGTGAAGTTGAATCTTTCTTTTCTTTGGCTCTCAGGATAATGTATCTTTTTTGTTTCATTGTATCTGCTTCTTTCAGCACCCCAGAGTTTGATTTCTTTGAATCAACACTTTACTGAACCTTTTCAGCTCAGAAACCTTAATAGATTCTTTATCAATTCTGCACATCCAAATTTATGGCAGATCATAGCAAGTTTAGCTGGATGTCCATTCAGTTTGAATTTTGAAGAGGGACTAACTTGGTGGCAGTCTTTATTTTTGCACCTCAATTTTGGCACATGACCCATGACTTTCAAATATTGATTTTTACATGGGTGGGCAAAAAGAGGTCACTGACCCTTTTCATTTTCATGCTATTTCTCAGAGAGTTCAAAGTTGCTTTAATATTAAATCATCCCACTATCACGTGACCAATGAGGAGAATATTTTTATAGAATACATAATCTTTGCTCAGATGCATGCAAGTTTGATCAAGAACCATTAATTGTCAGTTTCACTTTATTTCTTTTTCATTTTCACACTTTCTGAAAGTACTGGCTCCTCACTAAGAGTACTTATAAAATATAAACTTTAGTGTTGATTTTAGAAGTTTATTTCATCTACACCAACCTTGTATTCAGAGAGATATGTTTCTTCTCTTGCAATATGTACAAAATGTTATCAGCCTTTCCTGAAAAAAATTATTTATCACTACAATATTTAAGCTTATAAATAACATTATTAGTTGATATTTAAATTATTTCCTTAATGATATACAATATACCTCTTAAACAGTAATAAAAGATTTCAAAACCATGACATCTGCAAATATTTTGAAGATATACTTTAGTCTATGAACTAGAATTGAGCCACATTATCCAGTAATCAGCATCTTGATAGTATTGAAGAAAGAATTTAACAAATTGGAAGAATGACTGTTGCATTAGAAAAGAATTTTGTCAAGCTATCTAGTACAATATTGGAAAATGTTTATTTAATTATAACCTGTTAAAAATTTAAGCAACACACATTGAGCCTTGTTTTGTGTTCATTTTGAAATATTGGATTTTTTTCTGCTGTTTTTAACATTAAAATATAAAAAATAATAATTCTAACTGAACACCTGAACTTAAATGTTAATACATTATTAAGTTCATTTTTTTAAAACTTGGTAGAGAAGCTCGCCAAATTTATAAGTTAAAAATGCCATGATCTTGTAATCAAAATTTTTTAACAATTTTATAAAACTTATTTTCAATACAGATATTAAAGTTTTAAATTTTCTATAACATTTTCCATTTTAAGAAATGAATGTGTTTTTTTTTTATATAACAAAAAGAAAGGGTTATTGCTGTTTAATGATATACATTGTTTTTATATATATATATATATATATATTTTATACTTGCAGGATACCAACAAGTCATAATCAACAGCTGAAAAACTACTACCATGGATATGGGAAGTCATTATTAGTAAGTATGAATTGTAATTAACTGAATATTTCCATTCTACAAACATTTAAATATCTTAAAATGTTTTCAGTATTTATATATTATTTTGTCTGTAAAAACATTGTGAAAATTTTTCTCAGTGAATATTGTGATTATTTTTTTTTTCTTAATCATTTACATATTTACATATTTTTTCTTAATCATTTACATATTTACATATTTTTTCTTAATCATTTACATATTTACATATTTTTTTTAATCATTTACATATTTACATATTTTTTCTTAATCATTTACATATTTACATATTTTTTCTTAATCATTTACATATTTACATATTTTTTCTTAATCATTTACATATTTACATATTTTTTTCTTAATCATTTACATATTTACATATTTTTTCTTAATCATTTACATATTTACATATTTTTTCTTAATCATTTACATATTTTTTTCTTAATCATTTACATATTTACATATTTTTTCTTAATCATTTACATATTTACATATTTTTCTTAATCATTTACATATTTACATATTTTTTCTTAATCATTTACATATTTACATATTTTTTCTTAATCATTTACATATTTACATATTTTTTCTTAATTACATTTACATATTTACATATTTTTCTTAATCATTTACATATTTACATATTTTTTCTTAATCATTTACATATTTACATATTTTTTTTCTTAATCATTTACATATTTACATATTTTTTTCTTAATCATTTACATATTTACATATTTTTTCTTAATCATTTACATATTTACATATTTTTTCTTAATCATTTACATATTTACATATTTTTTTTCTTAATCATTTACATATTTACATATTTTTTCTTAATCATTTACATATTTACATATTTTTTTCTTAATCATTTACATATTTACATGTGTGTTTGTAGGATGTATAACAGTATCTGAAACAAAAGGGAAGATAATCCATTTTCTTTCATTATGTTCTCAATATACATTTAATTTCATAGATATTCTGAAGTTTATGTTCTCTTTGTAATTTTCTGTAAAGTATATTTTACTATTTTTTCTACATTTTTTTTTTAGCATCTTGTATGAATATAAATTATGAACAATTTTTTTTTTTAATTTTTCAATTGTAATGTTCATTTTGTATTATAATTTATTATAATAAACACTTATTATTAGTTATATTAGAAGTTCATTTTGTGCTATAATTTATTTAAGAATCTTTTTGCTTTCATTTATGAATGCATGCATGCTATATCATTACCAAAAATATCTTCCAAGCCTCTTGCTGCTCTATTGCTATTTCTATGGAGATTGTCGAGATGAACTACACTCCTTAGTTCCACCAGTCCTGATTAATCTGTTCAAGTGTAGGATTAACCATTATCTTCCACAGACAACTGTATATATAAGCTGTCCCTCTTACTGTGTAACCCTCTACCTTGAGTGGCCTTCGGGCCTTGTACAGAGTAAACACCACTGTAAAACAAACAAAAAAAAAACAGTATTGTAATCCTTTGTATCTTTGCTCCTAGTTAGTTTTAGTTGGTTCTCTGACTATATCAACATATGTAATGTTTATAGCTTGTATGTTTTGCATTGTTTTATTTTACTCTCGTAACATTTTCCTGTACATAATGTTTTATAGCTATTATCATTTCATAATCACCATTCAAATATCAATGAGGCTTCATTCTTTGAATAATTATTAAATCTCGTATTCGCTCCAGACCTCAAATGAAACGCATGTATATGATCCATTGTTAAAGATGCTGGAAAAATGATCAGCTCCTATCATCCCAAAGAATGTGATGACTCTTGCCATGCTTTATATTTGCAAAAGTCAGATTAGATTGCTACCATATTTGGACTGGAATTTTTTTTTTTTTTTTAATAGCCTGCAAGGGGTTACAGAGAGCAAGAGTAAAGAGATGTGATTGAGGAAAGGATAAAGAGAAAGATGGGGAATTAGATCAAGGCATTAGAAGATGTTGATTGACATTACATTTGAATATTTGAAGACTAAAACTGTCAGAGAAGCAAGCAAGAGGAAGGGAGTTCCACAGACTGGAAGTGCGAGACATGAAGCTATTGGAGTAGAAGAGATGCTACATTTAACCGTTTTGACAGTGAAAGGTGGGACTGAAATACCAATCTAGTAACGCATAAATTCATGCAGTTTGGGAATCAGTGAAAATAGCTTGTCTCAGCAGTTACTGTGAAAGTACTTGTAGAAAAGACAGAGGGAAGTGATGGCACATCTATGAGAAAGTGACTGTAGGTGAGATACCAGACTAGGACCAACCACAAAGCATATGAGTCTCTGGATTTTGTTGAGGACCTTGAGACAAGCAGCAGGGTCTCCAGACCATATATGGCAGCAGTATTCCATGCAAGGGTGAATGGTTGATTTATAAATTTGAAGGATGGACTCTGGCGACAAAACTTTCTGGTGTGACACAGAGAACCAACTTTCCTTGCAGTAGATGAAGCAATTGATTCAATGTATTTGTTCCATCTCAGCTCAGTGGACAGTGTGAGACCAAGCAGGCACAGAGGTGCCTCATGGATAGATTTCAAAATCATTTTGAAAGATTTATTTTCCACTCTACTACCTTTTCCTCCACAAAAGCAACAATGCAAACCTATCTATACTCTCATTATTTTCATGGCAGATGTTCAGGCAAGCTCCATTCTTTAGTTATGCGAGTTCCTCTTTTACAGATAGGACATACTGTGCCATACTACTTTTACAGGATTGAATCACCCTCATTTTCCCCATGTTCCAAAAGTAAGAAGAAAGTTCCACTCAGCTTTTTCCCAGGAACAGCCACTTCATGAAACAGACTCCTACATGAGTGCTTCCATGAAGACTTCAATCTTAGCATTTTCAAATCATGGGTCAGTTGGTATCTATCTTCGTTATCCTTATAATCCTCACATCCTACCAAATTCTCTTTCATTCTTATCACACATCTCATTCATCATTACAATTTTGACTGTTACTCTTTATCTTAAGTAACTCTCTTGCCTTTTATTAGCTAAAATTAAAAGAAGAAAAATAAAGCAAAATCAAATGTAAAACAAAGGATATATATGACTTGGCTGAGAAATCAGAATGTTAATAGCATATAGTTAAAAATGTCATGGAATAAGCCACAATAGATAGTACAAAAATATGTAAAATGCCTATATTTTTTAAAGTGGAAATAAAACCTTGTTAATGAAAAATTATTCACTTTCTTGTTGAAAATATGCAGTGATCCTCAAATTTGTTCTAATTTGAGGACATGCTTAATATTTGATAAGATTATTATAGTAAAATAAGTATATGAACTGTTTTTCTTTTTCCTCTTTTCTTTTTCCTCTTTTCTTTTCCTTTTTTCTTTTCCCTCTTTTCTTTTTTTTCTTTTCTTTTTCCTCTTTTCTTTTTTCTCTTTTCTTTTTCCTCTTTTCATTTTTCCTTTTTTCTTTTTTTCTTTTTTCATCTTTTTTTTTCATCTTTTCTTTTTCATCTTTTTTTCATCTTTTCTTTTTCATCTTTTTTTCATCTTTTTCTTTTCATCTTTTTTTCATCTTTTCTTTTTCATCTTTTTTCATCTTTTCTTTTTCATCTTTTTTCATCTTTTCTTTTTCATCTTTTTTCATCTTTTCTTTTTATCTTTTTTCATCTTTTCTTTTCATCTTTTTTCATCTTTTCTTTTCATCTTTTTTCATCTTTTCTTTTCATCTTTTTTCATCTTTTCTTTTCATCTTTTTCATCTTTTCTTTTTATCTTTTTCATCTTTTCTTTTCATCTTTTTCATCTTTTTCATTTTTTCTTTTTTCATTTTTTCATCTTTCATTTTTTTCATCTTTCATCTTTTTCATCTTTTTTCATCTTTTTCATCTTTTTTCATCTTTTTTCATCTTTTCTTTTTTCATTTTTTCATCTTTCATCTTTTTTTATTTCTTTTTCATCTTTTTTAATTTCTTTTTCATCTTTTTTCTTTTCTTTTCATCTTTTTCTTTTCTTTTCATCTTTTTTCTTTTCTTTTCATCTTTTTTCTTTTCTTTTTTCATCTTTTTTCTTTTCTTTTTTCATCTTTTTTCTTTTTTCATCTTTTTTCTTTTCTTTTTCATCTTTTTTCTTTTTTCCGTCTTTTTTTATCTTTTCTTTTTTCGTCTTTTTTCATCTTTTCTTTTTTCATCTTTTCTTTTTTCATCTTTTCTTTTTTCGTCTTTTCTTTTTTCGTCTTTTCTTTTTTCGTCTTTTCTTTTTTCGTCTTTTTTCGTCTTTTCTTTTTTCGTCTTTTTTCGTCTTTTTTTCGTCTTTTCTTTTTTCATCTTTTTTTTTTTTTTCTCAACTAAGAAGAATGCTACCACCTTTTGTAGCTTACATTACCAGAAATATTCCAAGCTAGTTAGTAAATTAGTCACCCTCTCCTTATGGATTTTACACCTGAAGAAGGCAGTACAATGGATTGGCTGAGATGTTGTGCTAACAACAAAACTCAAAATTATAGACTATTCAACTATTTTATTGTTCAGGTTTCATGTATAAATAGCTCTGGTTTGGCGATGTTCTAATTTAAATCACCCAATGAGACGTGTGCATTCAAAATTTTACAACCCTTTTTATGATCAGCTATTGTTTGAATTTGTGAGATGATTTATTGTCATTATTCCATAGTGTATTTTGATTATTATATTTTAGCCTGTGCTTTGTTTTCTTCAAGAATTCAAGTAGTATTGTGTTATCTTTGAATCTTGTTTGCTATTTTTTTTTTTTTTTTAGGTTTAAAATTCATTCTACTCTTAAATTTTAAAGTACAGAATCAATCTTTATCACTCAAATTTATAATTTTTCTCCTTGAAGTGGGATAAGAGTATCCCCCCTCACATTCCACAAAAATAAATCATAGATGACACTTAAAGATTACCAGATGATATACATGTAAGCTAAGTCATAGAACACCTCAATCAAAATATATTAACTAAGATGAAGATACTTTTTTTTTTTTCTTTTTTAGCAAAAGTGTTAGAGATTCAAACATTTTTAATTTTGGTTCTTAAGTTGTATTTAGAATATAAGAGAGAGAAAATAAGAGCTCAAGATAAGGATAGTGTTTCTTTTATTTCAAATTGTCTGACCATTCCCAAATATACTGTTAGGCATAAATAAAATCTTATTCTACCTTCTAGTCCACCCCCTCCCACTTCTCATGGCTAGCAGATTGCTTTTTTGTTTTTCGTGGTTAAAGCTATCTACATAAATCATGTGACCTGATTATGTAAACTGATGTGGTATACTGACATGTACTACAATGACCTGAAGTCAGGCCATGCTGTTAAAGATATTACATTCTGCAAGAGCAATAGCTATACAAATGCATTTTACTTTAACAACTTTACAGTCGATATTATGGGTAGCATCAAGAAAATTATTTTCTGTAACTGCAAAATATGGTTATTCTTTGTCATTGTTGGAAACCTGTCTTAGGTATTTTAATTCTTGAGACAAGTTCTTAATTCTCATAGAATGAAAAATACTATCTTTACACTCTCCTATTTTGAGGGTTCAAATTCAGATAAAATATTAATTAAATAATGATAAATTATATGTAACCAAAAAGTTTTCCTTTTTTGTAATGTGTACTAATTTTCATACTTATTTAATTTATATTTTAGAACATAATATATTATTAATATAAATGTACATATGCGTACACGAATACATACTTGTATTAAAATACAAGCTAAAAGCTATCGACAAATATTGGAAAGGAAATTCTAGTTAGTCAAATGATATACAATTTAATAGTGGTAATTTTTTCTGTTATATGATGTAAAACTTTTGATATTTTGAGTAAGAAAAAATGTGAAGAGACTTGTTTTCAGTTGTAGTGGATAAGTAATTTTTTACTGTCTAGAATTTCTTTTTTTCATAACAAATGATTGAGAATAGAATTTTTAAGCTACAAATTTGCATTCAATTATCTTTGCCAGGTTGGTGAAACTGCATAACCCCAGAAGTAATGTCATACTATAGGAAGAGATGGTGTATAGATAAGATGTTAAAAAAAAAAAAAAAAAAAAAATGTTAGATCAGATATAGATGTTTTAGATTCTGTCACTTTCTGATGAACAATTAACTGAAAATGCCCTGAATGAGCTTATGGAACATTTGAAAAATTTATAGTTATTTTAATAGTGTGTGTGTGTGTGTGTAAAATATATATATATATATATATATATATATATATATATGTATATATAAATTAAAATAAATTGATCAAAAGAAAGCAAATTTTTATTCAAGAAAAATCTCATGATCATTGCTTTCATCTTTCATATGAGTAACAGCTTAAAAAAAATATGATCTTATCAGTTACAAAGATAATTAAATTTATAGTTACTAAGTTAAAAATAAAAATGTAATTACAATACAGGTTAATGAATCTGATGTAAACTAGATTCATCTACCTTGGGTATATCAAATTCTGTTCAGTGTTTACTGTACAAAAGAAACAAATGAAAATGAAGAAATGAGAGAATGATCATAGTAGTAGTTGCATAAAAATATTGGAATGTAGGTAACAGGTTTAAATAAGTTAATTGAATGGTTTCTTATTTACTTCTGAGACTATGTAAAACTTCTACGGAAGAAAGGTTTCAGTGAATATGAAGCATTTTTATTTTAGTTGTTTGTTTACTGTATTTTCTAGTGCATATGGTGAATTTTGAATGAGGATTAAAGGCAAAAAAGGGGACGTCATATTATACACAAGTACATGTTTTCAGAAGTTTTTACTCGGCTTAAAAAAAAGTCTTTTTTTAAAACAGCAAGATTGCAAATACACTCAGTTTTGCTCACAAGATAGTTTATATTTTGAAGTTTTCTCTTTTTCATTCTTAAAAAAAGACATTTTTATTTATTTTTGTAGTTTGTTATTGGGTTGGTGCATAATTATCAGGCGTTTTAAAGCAATATTTATTATGAAAAAAAGAAACATAACAATTCAACAATAACATTTTTAAAGGAGTATGATTAGACATGCATTTTTATAACCTGAAAATAAAACAATATTTTTATTTTAAAAAAAAAAAAAAAAGTAAACAAAACAGCAATTTTTATTAACAAATAACTTGCTTACAAAAACGCTTGGTAATTATGCACCAACCCAATAATATATAAAAATATTCACACCAAATAGAAAAGTATGATAAATTAATACCTTAAAATGTATTATCAAGTAATTTAGAACTTTTCCCCAAAAATTTTAAAAAAATTTTGAAATTAGAAGAAACATACAATGGCTGAACATATGGTTCATTTCTTTTCTTTAATATCGTAAAAAATTAAATATTTTACCGAAATATATGTACGGCATTAAGATTTTAATGGATAATATGGTAAAACTTAAAAAAACTTACATCAGGATGACTGTATTATGGGGTTGTATTATACACAAGGATGTAATTTATTCCCAATTTTTAGCTACAGAAACACAGAATCATATACTTGTCATATTATACACAAAAAAATATGGTATATATAGATTATATAGAAAGCATTGTAGTTGGTTATAGGCTTTCAAATTAACTGACTGCTAAGTGGAGCTTTAATTCAAAGCTTTCAATTATATAAACATACACATGTGTATACATGTATCAGAATCCAGATCAAATCAAGACACTGCTCTTCAACAAAATTATACATTTGAAAAAGAAAACTCATTTGAAAGAAATATCAGTTTGTATACATGTTTTTTTTTTTTTACCTTCCTTGAATGTGTCTGGTTTTTAGAATTTAAGAGAATTCAAATCTAAATACACCATATGCTCGAAGAAAGCCAAAGAATTAACATGTTAGCAAAAAGTAAATATGTAAAAGAGTAAATACAAAAATATATATGAAAAAAATTAAAACAAACTTAATTGTAGAAGTTCAGAAAATAGTTCCATCTTTAGAGTTACCATCTTCAGTTTTGAAGTCATCATTATTCCAACATTTGTTTGGAATATTGAATTAATTTTCTTTGTTATTTCTTCTGATCAATTCAACCTTGTACAATCCATAAAGAAAATTAAGAATGGCTCCTTTTCCAAGAAAATGGTAGCAAACAGAAAAAAAAATGAAGTCAAATATACTGATCATGTCAGCCTCTTCCCAGCAATGCATGTCGCAAAGCAATTCCATTCTTAGTAATCCATGGAACTCAAATGATTCAAAATGTTTTAAACATGGTAATGCTCTCTAATCCTTTATTTGCTAAGCAAAGAAATTCACACTGGCCTGGCTTATATATTTATAACTTGAGTGTAATGTGCACAGATTCTTTCAATTTTCTCACTATTCATCGATAATCTCTACTGGATCTTTTTCCAGATAGGTTACTGTTATTTGTTTCCCATTAAAATATGGCCTGTTGTACCAGACATTCTTATTCCACTTTTTATTACAGCTTTCACATTTACTTGTTTAATTTTGAAGAATCAGCTGGTTTCTCTTACATGTTCTTTTCTGCATTTACATGAAATGTTATAGATTCAGTCTTTTGTTGCCCACTCATTAAAAAAAAAAAAAAAAAAAAAATCTACTTCAATAAGAGTTGCAAAGAGTGGTTGTACTCTTGACAACCATCCTGATGGTGTAATATTGCCTTGGATCAGTTCACTCTTATATATATATATATATATATATATATATATATATATATATATTTAGTGTAGTTACATAGTTGGTATCACTGGGTTTATTTGTCTTGTATAACTTCTGAATGTTCTTGAGGAAAAAGACTGTTATTATTTTGGAGGATACAGTTATATAGTTTGCTGCTTTAGATTCCTGGAATTACTGTTACTGACAGTTTATTGTCTTCACCATCAGGTAAAGGTCATAAAATAAAGTTCAAATACAGGTAGCCTAATAAACGTATATGAAAGTCAGGTCAGTATGAATTTCTTTGTTTCATAGGAAAAGAGTTAACATTCCTTTTGAGAGAGAAAAATAAAGTGGAATCGTTTGGATTATGCAAATTGTTGAAAATGGAATCACTGATATTATGCATGTTGCTGAAAATAGGCCAATCCGATCAGTATATCTACCACTATTTCTTTTTTGTTTACTACCATTTTTTTAAAAAAAGAAAAAAAAAGATATTCTTTTCTTTCTTTATAGAGGGAACACCTGAAGAAGACTGTAGAATAGATCAACCACAACATTGTGGTAACAACAAAAAAATATTAAAAGCAACAAGTGATTTTACTAGTTCAAACTACTCTTAGAATTATTATTTACACTATTTATATTCAAACTGTTACTTTCAACTTTGTTGTTTTTATCACAATGTTTTAGCCATTGTGCCCTCCAGCCTTCACCAAGTGTAGCTCGGCCTGGGTTACATACAGGGAATTCTAAACTGAACCCTTTATTTAATCTACAGAGTAGACTGTGCTCATGTAGATATCAGGATATCATCTAGTTCT